CGAGGAGCTTCCCTCCCCGCCTTGCTGGAGACCGGCGGGACCATGGCTGCGAAGCTGCGAGCGCATCAGGTGGACGTGGACCCGGACTTCGCGCCGCAGAGCCGGCCGCGCTCTTGTACCTGGCCCCTGCCGCAGCCCGACTTGGCCGGCGACGAGGACGGAGCTCTGGGTGCAGGGGTGGCTGAGTGCGCCGAGGACTGCGGGCCAGAGCGTCGGGCGACGGCCCCGGCGATGGCCCCGGCGCAGCCCCTGGGCGCAGAGGTCGGACAGCTGCGGAAAGCGAAGAGCTCGCGGCGGAACGCGTGGGGAAACCTGTCCTACGCCGACCTCATCACCAAAGCCATCGAGAGCGCGCCGGACAAGCGGCTCACGCTCTCTCAGATCTACGACTGGATGGTCCGCTACGTGCCCTACTTCAAGGATAAAGGCGACAGCAACAGCTCGGCTGGCTGGAAGGTGGGGACACCCGGCTGGGGCGGGGGAAACTGGGGATACTGTCTGGGTGCGCCTAGGCACAAGGTAGGCGGCCGGGTAGCCCTCTGGGGCGCCACCAGAGGCCAGAGTGCCCGCCCATGGCTGGGGGCCAGCGTTGGACGGATGGGATGTGAACGGTGTGTGTGCGTGTCCTGGCTGCGGGCTGGGATGTCTGCTGGGGGCAACAAGGGCTTGCTACTTTCAGGCTCCCTGGAGGGATTCTAGTTGGGTAACACCCACCCTGCCCTTGAGGGCACAGCTAAGGAATATCGTGGGGTCCCCATCAGCCTCCTCTCGTTGGCTTTGTGTTACTCTTGTTTTACCCTCGCCACTAGAGCACCCCCTTAAAGAGCAAGAGTAAAGGCTTGGGGCCAATGCTGCGTTCTCCCCGCCTCCCACTCCAATCCTTCCCGCTGCACTCCCTGGAGCTCCCCTGAGGATGTGGAGTGCAACCGGGGACCCATAGCTCTTCCCATGGCATTGGGTGTTCACCTTAGGGCCGGCATCAGCCTACCTGGAGTCAGGGGAACTCTGTCAGCTGACCTGGAAAGCTCTGAGTTCTCCACGGGGCAGCTCTTTCCACCCCCACCCCCCACCCCCAATTTGGATCAGCATGAAGGTGTTGGTGGTGACCCCTGCTGGTCTGAGGGCAGGGTGCCTGTGGGCTGGTGAACTGGCCCTGCCCACCCTAGACTGCATGTCTCCCACTTATCCTGGCTTTCTGAGCCCAGATGCATTTAGGGTGGGGGAGGGGCAGGGGAGCCCCTGGGAGGCCGCCGTGCCAGCAGTGGGAAGGGGGGAGCCATCTTGAAAGAGTTGTGGCCTCCAGACCCAGCTCCTCCTGTGTGCCGGTCAATTCCTTGGGGGCATGGGTATAGTCTGTGCCTTTGCAGGAGAGGTCAGAGGGGCTGTTCCTAGGGGGCGAGCTCAGAGTGAGTGCCAGGCTCTCTCTGGGGGAAGGGGTCTTTCTGAGTGAGGCATGGCATGTGCCAGGTGGTCAGAGCAGTCAGGGTCAGAGCCAGAGCCAGGAGGTGTAATTGTGGGGGTGAGGGTGGAGGAGGCATGTGCAGGTGGGCAGTTCAAGATGCCCAGTGGCTGCAGTGTAGGGTCATGTGTCCTGACCTGGGAGCCCAAGACTCTCAGGCCACACACTGGCAGCTTCTCTATCTCAGTAGTGAGCCACTGTTGGGGTGAGGGGCACAGGGTGCAGAAGCAGATGGGAATCTCCTTCCCCATCCTCTCTGCAGTCCCTTTGGGCTCAATCCCCACTAGAGCATTCCTCGCTGGTGTGCCCTGCCCTTGGGCTTTGCTCCCACCGCCCTTCCCGCTCCACTTGACTTGTCTCACCACCCACCTCTCCCTATAGATATAGCTCCTGTCTGTAAGCAGATGCCTCCTCCAGGAAGTCTTCCAGAACCCTTTTTAGCTAGCTTAGGACTGCCCCTTCCTTGGCCCTCTCTGCCTGCCTTGATTCTTAGCCGTTTCTGTTCTGGCTCATTTCTGTCCACACCCCCCTTTGGAAGGCAAGGGCAGGGGCCAGTGTCAGGCCCTTTCTGGGCCTGAAACACCCATCACAGAGCCTGGCACCAAGGACCCCACTGCATGTCTAGCCAAAAAAAGAAGAGTGACCATGGGGAGGCTTGTGCTGTGGCTGTAGACAAGAAATGGTGTTTGTGTTTTGTGGGTGGCACAGAGGCTACTGAGGCAAGGAGAGGTCTGTGGACTAGAGTTGGTCAGGAGGGCTTCCTGTAGGAGGTGGAACTACAGCTGGGGCTTGTTGAGGAGGATGGGGATGGGGAGAGAACAGCAGTTCATTTGAGTCTTGCAGCCAAGCTCTGTGCCAGGTGCCTTTTCACGTCTCCTTTGATGTCTTCGAGGTCCTCAAGATGGGTTTTACTATCCCCATTTACAGAGGAGGACACTGAGGCTCAGAATGGAAGAGTGAACTGCCCGAGGTCACACAGTCAATGGGAAAGCTGCACTCCAACCCAGGTGTGGCTCCATCCAGCGCCCCAGGCGCCCTTCCTTGATTATCTAGATGCTCCAGAGAGCCCGGGGCACAGTGTCCTCCTAGCAGCTGGGGGCTGGCAGGGGAGGACATTGAAGGTGTTCTAAATCCTGGCAGCGCTGGGAATGTGGTTGGAGAGACCGGAGTCTCATGAGTTCATTTCTCGGACTGGGAGACTGAGGCCTGGAAAGAGATGGGACTACTCTTAGGTCATCAGTGAGCAGCAGGCCCTGGATGCAGGCCCAGGTCTGCTGCCTGCCCGTTGGATGCAGCTTCCACTGCACCATGTTGTTGGGGACGCACTGGCCCTCTCTGCGCCTGGGCTCTGGGAGGAAGGCGCCCTGGCGGGCTTAGCCCTGGCCTGGGGCACTGGAGAGGGTAGCGTAGCCTAAGGCTTGGGCTCCTGACCTAGGTTCTGACACAGACCACCCAGGCACTGGAGGGGGATCTTCACTTCCCCTTATTCCATCCACCCAGGCTCCCTGGGAAGCCTCTCTCCTCTCATTCCGGGGGCTGCCCATGCCCATGTTCTGCTCCCTATTCCCTGCTAACCTTCAGGGACCAGTGGAGAGGCCACCCCAACTCCCCACCAACCTCAGACTGGCAGAGGGGTGTCAGGGTTGAGGCCAGGGCCCAGTGCTCCACGCTCCTGCCCTCTCCCAATGTGTCATCCTTGAGTCCCTGGGGTGAGTAAGGATGAGGAGCCATGGGGAAGGTGTTGGCCTACCTTCACGTGCCCAGTGCTCACCAAGACCCCATGTTTCACAGCTAAGAAGGGCTGGCATGGTGGGGGTGGGGGTGGGGGCAGGCTTGATGCCCTAGGGGACAGAGATGTCCTCTGGAGAAAGTGACATTTGATCCGGTCCTTTACTGGGGAGGCGAGAATTTGGGGGAGTCTTCCAAAGATTGCTGACTACACATGTCCGGCAGGGAGGTGGAAATTGCTGGCTGCATTTGGGGGCAGTTTGGATGTGCCAGGTGGGCAGGCTGGCAGGGAGGTGATATGGGCAAGATAGAATGAGCCAGCCCAGGAAAGGCTAAAATGCTTGGTCGTGCCCTGGGTTCCGTCTGTGAGAGAGGAAGTGAAGGCTAGCCCCTGGCATGCAAAGGATCCCCAAATCGCCTGAGACTTAGGGAGCCACTAGGTTGTGACTGGCTTGCTGCCAGAGAGGCTGGTGGTGTCCCTGGGGGTGGGGCGGTTGGGGTGGGAGGTGGCAGGAGCTGCCAGGCCTGGACAGGAGCTCCCCCAGCTCCCTCCTGCAAGTCTCAGAGTATGGTTGTCTGGGTCGGGCCTCCCACTTTCTCTCAGATGCTGCAGACCCACCTTTCTGAGGCTTGGACTCCTTCAGGAAGCCTCCCAGGCTGATCTGAGACCGGTGGGCTTCACACTGTGCCCCCTGGTGGGGTTCTGCCTGCATCTGTGTTTCCTGGCTGCCAGTCCACTGGGAGCTCGGGGCACCTCCCACTCGTGTCCCCAGGCTGGGTGGGGGTGGAGGGTCAGTGGATGGGGACTTCCCTTCGAGGGAGAGCAGCCAGGTTCTTGAGAGTGAGGCAGGGTAGGGTGGTGCTGGTGCTTCTCCTGCAGGCCTGAAGTTCCCAGTGGGGTAGGGGCTAGAGGAGAGGGGCCCCGGCCCAGAGGCCCAGAGGAGTGCCTGACTACAGCCCCAGTGAATGTTGGGTGTGCGTATAAGGGGGTCTCCCTACCTGCTTCCACTCAGACTGCTCCAACGGGGCTCCGTACTTTCTCCTTTGTCCTACGGGGATCCCCAGCCCCAGGGGCTGCTGGGGGTGTGGGAGGAGGCGGTTTGAGCCCTGGGATGGTGGGGGGAGTGTCCTCACCCCCTTTACTGCACGAGCTGGGGGCTGGCAGCTGCCCGCCTCCTGGGCACGAGCCCGTGCCAGCCTCTCCTGGCACAGTTGCTGGCACGCCCGGCAGACTCCCACGGCCACCTGCTCACACCCACCCACGAGCGCTGGCGCGCTGAGGGCCCTTCCGGCTTCCCGGGCCTCCCGGCGCCCCTCCCCCGCCGCCGTGCTCTGGCGCCCCCACCCCAGTCCTCAGCTCCCCGTGGACCTCCTGCCACCACCAGCTCCTAGATTCCAGCCCCCTCCCCCGCAACTTGGGGAGCCCCAGAGGCGGCTGCCAGGAGGCCCCTGGAGTGGCTGCACCGCGGGGGAAGAGGTGGGGGGGGGGGACTGGAGGCAGACAGACCGACAGACAGGGTGAGGGCCCCGCCTGCCACCTGGCGCCGCTCCAGCGGGACGATGGCGGGCAGCGCCGTGCCAGGCGGTAATTGCAGACAGACTAAAAAGATGAGACGGTTATTTTTAACTCGCGTTAAGGTAATGAACGGCGCGCGGGGTGGGGTGGGAGGTGGGGGGTTGTTTGCGGGTTCGAAAGTTCATCAGCTTCCCAGCCCCCAATTGCTGCAGGTCGGGTACCCCTCTCTGCAAGACCGGAAGGAAGGTTCCAGCCTCTGTCCTGAGCACAGAAGCTGACTGCCGCCAAAGGGAGGTTGAGGAGCTGCAGGGGTTCTGCTGGAGGGTGGGGAGGAGTGAAAGGCTCCTAGGGACAGCCTGAGGGGGCACCCATTCCAGCCCCAGCCAGGTGCACCTCCCATAAAACCCCACTCACCACCTGCAAGATGGGCCCTGACATCCGTGTTCTCAAGTCAGGAACCTGACCTGAGAGAGGAAGTGTGTCCTGAGGTCACATACCAGGGAATTGAACCCCCGCTGCTAGCTGCTTTCCTTGCTTGTCACTCTTCAAGTGGCAGCTGGTGACAGTGACCTCTTGGCACTGTGGCAGTCCTCTGAGTCTTGTGAGGTGTGACAAGGGTGGTCATGTTCCTGTGGATGTGGCCCTCTGGGAAATAGGTGCATTAGCTATTGCAGGGGGTGTCCAGACTCCTGCACCCTGCAACCCCCTCACCAGCAGCTTGTGGGCCTGCCTTCCAACCTGGGGTGGGTACTT